AAAAAAAAAAAAAAAAAAAAAAAAAAAAAAAAAAAAAAAAACAGTCTCATGAATATCAGCCCAAGGGGAGCAGGAGTGAGCTGTTCAGAGATGAAAGTGCACAGAAATAAAAGCTCAATTTAATCTGCTTTAAAACCCTTCAACTTAACGTTTGTGCTTCAAACTCTGAGAGTGAGGACTGATTGCGGATAAATAGTTTCTTACCATGCCTGGAAGCTATTACACCCCTCTCCAACACAGTTTCCTATTCAACAGCCCCAGTTTTCATTACCAGCTCTAATAAGTCTTAACATTATTAAATGCCAAGCGGACGATAGGGAAAAACGGACTCAGGGAGGGATCTCTCTTTAGCGCTTAAAGAAGAGAGCTCTTAAACCCCTTCTTTGGCGGCTCCCTGCCACGAGAGGGGCAACCCCCGGAGAAAGCATTTATCAAGACCAAGAAGCCAAAAAACAAAGTTGTGGGTATGCACCCCTCCCCCTGCTCTGCCCACGGGGCCTCTCGGCCTCTCCTGACCTGGACAGCTTGGGGGGAGGTTGGGAGGTTTTTCTCCCCCCCCCCACCTTTAACTTGGCCATGACACTGATGTCTAGGGTCTGGGAGGAAGGTGAGGGGTTCATCAGAATGTCTGCTGACCACCCCACACTGGGACAGGTAACTGATACAATTTGTCCAGAGGTGGACAGACGGTGCCTCTCCTCTCGTCTGTGCCATCAAATGCCCATCCACACCCACGGGCATCACACTGCAGACCCGGCAGAATCCCACTGGCGCAGATACAAGCACAAGGGCACTCTGATCCCTAGGAACCCTAGGCGGGTGGGTGACAGCCACACGGAGAGAGAAGCAAAGGCTTCCAGACCATCCAGCACAACATCACAGCGCCCCACGCGCCCATCAGGACTCAAAACCCAGAGGGCTTTCTGGACACAGGCCCGCCCCATGAGGTCATCTGGTTTGTGAAGCTCCTCGAGACTCCGCACCTGTGTCCCCAGCCTCCCCCATCTGGAGCCACCAGGCTGCTCTTTAGACCCTGGAGACTCAGCGCTTCCTGGGTCTTTTACAGGGAAAACCTCTCTCCAGCGAAGTGGCCCGCTCCCTGGTTTCGTAAAGCCAGACCAGCTCTGGAAGTGCCCAGGTTCCCTGAGTCACAGACCCCATATGTCCCTTCCCTTCCTCTCCCTTGCCCCTTGCCTTTCTCAGAGAAAATTTACCTATTTGTACTTCCTCACAGGCTGAATTGGAAATACCCCTGACAGACAGACAGGCAGACCCACACCCCGGAAGTCTTTCCAAGTGAGTCCAGACCTCCCTCCACTTCTGGCTGGGATAACTCTGAGAGGTGCTGGGCATGACCACTCCAGTTCCTGTCCCTGACCAGCCATTCTTTCATGCAAAAAAGTCTCCAACTAGTCTTTCCCGTAGGAACTTGAGTCTGTACTGGGTCCCCCGGCAGGGGTCCCAGGGCTGTGCGACAGGCGGTCTGGCCGAGACAGGGGCTCCTTGGCAGTGCTGGGCTGCTCGCTCCGGCAGACCCGAGGCCCCTCGGCAGGCCCAGCACAGCGGGGTGCGAGGCGCTGCTCGCTCCCTTTCTTCCCTCGCCCTTTGTCCCGGGCGGGACTGCGGCTCCACTAGGGGCCCTGAATGTCAATAGCCCGCCCCTTCCCCTGCACAGAGCAGCTCTCACGCGGGGCTGCCCACCCCCCAATCCTTCCCCCTCGGACTAGGCCGGTGGGGGCTGGGCCTCCCTGGCTGGGAGTTGTCTTTGGAAGCGGGCTTTGTCTGTGAAGTTCATCTTCAAGGTTGAGAGGGACTGCGGAGAGCCGGAGAGAGACCTGGGCTGGGAGTGCCCGGGAGGCTGGGAGAGGGGTGCCCCGGCAGAAGCCTCTGGAAGGAAGGAGACTCGAACAAAATGGCTCGCCCACTTTTTCAAAAAACCACGCTTTCGCCGGTTCCTAGGACCGCTGTCTCCGATTCTCTCCGCGCGACTCCCTCCCTGCGGGTGTCTGGGGGCCCTTCTTTCCCCAGATCAGTCATTGTGGCTCTGGGTCTTTGCACTTCTCCCCTCAGCCCCACTCGGTGCACACAGACCCAGTCTCCAAGAGAACCGCGAGGGAGGGGTGAAGGGCAAAGACTTTCCCTTCCTCCTCTCGAAACTTCTCCGTCTGTAACAAAAGCAAGTCCCCTTCCCCGGGCGTGCAGGCGCTTGAAAGATAAAACGCCTTCCTCAGGTCGCGGGGGGGGGGGGGGGGGAAAGCTGGGCGCTGTGCTGAGACTGCAGCCCGCGCCCCAGCCTTGCCAAGGGTGGGGAGGGGTGTGTGGCGCCTGGGACCCCCGCCCGGGGGCGACATCTGGGAACTTGGCCTCCACTCCCCGCCCCATCCGCGAACGCCAGAGAGGAAAGCACCCTTCCGCCCGCCACTCTGCCCTGGCGACGCGGGACTGAGAGCCAGGCGGCCGCCCTGCCCTGGCTAATTTTTATTGATTGCAGCGGTCAGTCAACTGTCAGGCGGGGTTTCAAGGGACCGTTTAGAGAGCCTGTGCGGGTCTGGTTAACAAATTCATTTAGGGAGCCGCGGGCCAGCTCCTCCTTCCTCGCCCCCCTCCCCGCCTTCCCCAAGTTTCCTATAAATAATTGATCAACAGCGGGTCAAGCAGCCCAAACGCCAGCCCCGAGGACGCGCGTACCCGGGGAGACCCCGCGCGCGCAGGGGCTGCACAGCCGCGGCGCGCTCCGCTCCTCCCCGCAGCCCGGTTGCCTGGCAGAGGAGACGCGGCTCCGCACCCTGCCGCGGCCCGGGGCGCACCGAGGGGGCGCTCTCCGCAAAGCCTGGAAAGCTCCCGGCTGCCCGCCGCCTGCGAGTTTTTCCGCACGAGTTCTGTCCCAGGCGCTGGGGCAGCAGGAGCGAGCCACAGGCCCGCAGGAGGAGCGTGGGAAGGCGCGGGCTCCGCGGTCAGCGGGCCCTGGCAGTTTCCTACCTTTGTCGCCCAGAATGCCGTCGATACTGTGTTTGGCCTTCTTCTCGCCATCGTCCTCTTTTTTGTCCCCTTCGTCCTCCTCCTCTTTCTTCCCGAACTTGATTCTGAGCACGCGGCTAATCGAACTCACTAAACCTCAGAAATTCAAAGGCAAAAGAGCAAGTATAAGTTGTTGGGCAAAGGAGAAGTGGGGAACCCCCACCCCACAGCACTCCCCAGGCAGTCAGCATTTTCACCCACTCACAGGGACCCTCAGCACACCTGAGGCACCCACCCAGTGCCTTCCCACACAGTCCCATGTCCCACGTCCCACACGACACACCTCACACCCTAGATGCTGCCCTCCACACCCACTCCTCCTAGACATGCCCCCAATTCCTGCTGCTGCCTTGCCCAGGCTCAGGTGTGTCCTGGCTTGCACGTCTGAATGCACATGGACACACACCTACTTTCCCTGTTATGGTGGTTTGGGGCCTCTGAATTGGGGACTCACTGGTGGGTGGTGGTAGCCAGAGAATGGTTTGGATGATTTGGGGAAAGGGGTCCAGGAAATACCGAAGACAGCAACCCTCCTGGGGCAGGTCTCTCCTCTGGGCCACTTCCCGACAGCTCCAAGGGGGCTCCTCTAGGGTAACTTCTGGTCCTCTCTCCCCTCCTCCCCCTTCCTTCCTCCCACCTGCCTGTCGGCCATCCTTTCCCGCCCTACCTGCTTTCTTCCTGCCCTCTCTCCTAACTTTCTTCTCGCTCATCCTCCTTTCTGTTGGATTCACAACTGCTCTCTCTGTCTTCTTGCTCCCTCTTCCTCCCTACTTGGCTTCAAGGTCCCTGGGAACCACCACTCCCCACTCTTTCTCCCCTCCATCCCCACACCCTGAGCCCCGGCCTCTGGCTGGCAGGTTCCCTGGCTCAGCTGCCTTCTCACCTGAGGGCACCGTGCTGCGGTCGCAGTGCCCGTCCTTCAGCAGCCGGTCCCGGATCTCCCAGCTGAACATGCCTGGGTTTTCCCTCTTGTACTCCTCAATCTTTTTCTCCACATCCGGAGTCGCCACCTGCTTCAGAGGTGGAGGTGGGAGAGGAGGAGTGGACAGATGGGGTGGGGGAAGGGAGATACTTTTAATACCAACCTCCTGAGAGCCCCAGGCCAGGCTGGTGGCTCTGGTCACCATGCTCCCCTTCCAAGATTGGCTCTGTTCTTTCAAGAAATTAGTTCCTGGCTCCCAGGATGGCAGCTGGGTAGGGAGCAGGGATAGGTAATAAAATACAACCTAATTAGCACCCCAGGACCTCCCCTCACCATCACAGGAAGGCAGAGATTTCCCCTGGTCTGGGGTAGCGGCAGAGACTTGGGGACAATCCAGAGATAGTTTATTAGCCTCAAAGTCAGGGACAACCTAGACCTGTTATTCCCTTCCCTCCCTGAGAAATTCAAATAATGGGGAAATAATGGGGACTTATCTGGGGTTGGGGACACTCCCCACTGCGCTTCCCATGGAGAGCATACAGACACCCCAGTGCCGGTGTATGACACACAGGAGTAGCACAAGGGGTGGCAGCCAGGGTCCTGGCCGTGGGGAGGCCTGCTGGCAGCCTCTGTGGCAAAGACACTCACTCTGGGCTTGCTGCCGCCGATGGCCCCAGGCCTGATGGACCCAGTCTCCTGGTAGCGGCAGAGAATCTTGGAGACACAGCCATGGGAGACCCGCAGCTGGCGGGAGATGACACAGGGCCGGATGCCATGATGGGCCATCTCCACAATCTTGTGGCGGATGTGGTTAGGCAGGGGTCGCCCGTTGATGAAGACCCCGCCAAGCTGATTGACCCGGCCTTGGCCAAGCGGGGTGGACACTGGAGAGGACAGAGAGAAGAGACCTGGGTGAGGACAGGGGGGAGACGCTGGCTGACTGCACTCGGGGACTCGGAGACTGCTTGAGCCCCAAGATCTCCCCACATTCAGAGCCACTTGGGTAGTCAGAGGTGGGAAGGAACTGTGGTGAAGGAGGACCTGTGGGGGTGGAGGGAGAAGTCATGGCTGCGAGGACCTCCACACAGGCCTTGTGCCCTTACCCTGCCACACCAAAGGATGACACACACCTGGCGGGGAGAGGGACACTGCAAACGAATTAGCCTGGTGGTGCTCTAAAGATCTCTGGGGCACTGGCTGTCTGTCCCTCAGGCCAGGCGTAGGCCACTGACTGGTCTGCCTGCCTCAGAGACGCCAATTACTGATGAGATGTGGCCCATCGGATCCGATCAGTTCCACGATCCCAGGAGACTTGTGACTGATCCACTTTATTGGTGGCTAGAAAGGGCTGGTTGAGTCCGAGCCTCTACAGCTCAGCTTGAGCAGGGACCTGTCCTACCCGTGGCTGAACGGCCCAGGGTCAGTGACACAGTGCTGCAGGAGCTGTCTCCCCAGGCACCTGGCTGTGCCTTGGGGGAGTCCCCTTGTTTCCAATCGCTCTCAAAGTTTTAATTTCGTTTTGGAGCAACTGGGGGACACATCCCACTGCCAGCAAGCTCCAAAACATCCCGCTGGGTCTCAGAAACCCATGCGCGGTCCCTGCAGGCTCTGCTTGAACACAGATGGGCCGCAGTCCCAAGGGTGTGGGTGACTTTGAGAACCAGGAAGGCAGACAGCCCCGCTGTGTTCTGAGGAAGGAGAACGGCAGGCACGGGTCGCCTTAATGCAAAGTCTACACAATTTTCTCACAGAAGGTTGGGGGACACCCGGTGCACTAATCCGGCCTCGATCCCCCCAATTTGGGGACTCGGCGGCTGCGGAGATCTGGAAGATTAGAACGATTTCACAGCCGCCAGAGTGGAGGGAGCTGTGGGTATAATTGGAAGGGAGGGGGCGAGAAGAGGCTCGGCTGCAGGGCTCTTCCTACCGCCCCCTCCCTCGCTCTCCCGGGGCCCCCCACCTCTCTTTGTAAAAGTAGGTGTCTGAAGCCACCCTCGGATTTAATCAGAAATCGTGCGTCGCCAAGTCAGAGTCACTCGGTCTCCGTGGCGGGATATGCCATTAGCGCTGGAGAGCTCTCGAGCGCCCAACTTTATATTCAAGAGCCTCTTTAGCGACCGGCGCTCGGCTCTTCTCAGTATTCTGCGTCATGTTGGGCAAATATTGTTCTAATCCGCGCCGCGTCCTCAGCCGCGGTCTTACTTGCATTCGCTCCAGGAGAGTGCTGCGGCAAATCCCCGGGCTTGCGCGCCCTCCCGCCTGCGTGGCTGCTCGCGCGCACTTGATCACGGAGCCGCTCTCTTCGCCCCTGTCTAATTCAGGGACCCGGCGCCTTCTCTCGGCCCGAGGGGCCCCCCCTCCCCGATCGCAGGCTGCCTGCCCGCCCACCCGCTCCCGGCCTTCTCTCGCCTTCCTCCCGCACAAGGGGGCTCGAACAATCGCAGGAAGAGTGATGGAAAAATAAAAGTGGCCCACCTCTCTAACTCCTTCCCCAAGACACCCGGGGCTGCCTGCCCCAGAAGCCAAATGATCCCTCAATGACAGGTTGAAGCTCTTGGTTAGTTCAAAAAGAAAAGAAACAAAAATGAGGGGAAGGGCCTCTGCTCCCAGCCCTGGCCAGCCCTTTCCCCCTCCGGGAGCCCTCTCGCCGCCCGTCCTCTCGGCTCTCCACGGCCACTGGACGTACTTAGGAGGACGCGTTAGAAAATGAGCACTTTCCCCCGGGGGTGCACATTGTGGTGCCCCGCTCGCTGTCTGGAGGTTCACTCCTGGGAGATGTGCCGAGTTCGGGTAGCCCGAGTGAAAAGTTTTGGGGAGAAAACGATCGTTACTATTTAAGATTTCAAATTCATCTGTTGGCAGGTCAAAAAGCAGGAGCGGTGGAGGGCTGCTTTGGAAGCAGCGGATGGCCTTGGTAGGTGCACAGAGCAGCACGCATTGTTGGTATTTCGAAATAAAAGGGATTGGAAGAACATCCCGGTAGCGAAAAGAACAATTCCAAACTGGAGTAGAAAACCCGGAGCCGGTGAGCGCCGGGGGCTGGAAAACTATCAGGAGAGAAGTGTCTGAAATAGTGGGAAGATGGGAGATCCACGGGGACCCGGGTTTACCAGAAGCTGAAATCTACCGGGAGCTCCGCCCTGCGGGGAAAGGCCAGCGGTCCGCGACCTGTGAGGCCGAGGCCGCGGGTCAGTGAAACCCACGCAGAAACGGACAAGTGTCAGCCCCAGAAACTTCCTGGGTCCCGCGCCCCGACTTGGACCCCCACGGGGTGCGGGACCCACGGCTCCTGCCCCCGCCCCCGCCGCCCCAGGAGATCGCCACCTCCAGGGAGCTCGAGTGGCGGGCGGAACAGTCAGGCCGGGCAAGCCTGGGCACTCTTACCTTCCAAGGGAAAGCCCGTGCGCGGGTAGTTCTGCCCCGGAGCCGGTCGCATCATCCTGGGTACCGCGCCGGGAAGGGCCGCCATTCTCGCGCACGCCGGGGACGAATCCAGAGTCGGCAAAAATCGCCTCCCGTCCGCTCCCTTTCCCCCGGCTGCGATCTTTCTTCCCTCCTTCTTCTTCTTCTCCTTTTTTTTTTTTTAACCTCTTCCTCCTCCCTCCACGCACTCCCTACCCCACCCCCCCACCCCGGCTGCAGTCGGACACGTCCAGAAGCTGGGGAGGGGGGTGAGGTGGGGGCGGAGGTGGGGGCAGGGAAGGTGGCGACGAGGAAGTTCAAACAAACAAACACTCCAACCCCAAGTCCGCCTCCGCCGGCGGGGCTCGGCCACAAGTTGTGCGCGCGGATGCGCCGGGCAGAGCTGGGCCACCAGGCCCGGCAGCGCAGGGGACAGGACGCGGCCGGATCCCGGGCCCCGGCCTCGGACTGCAGAGCCACTCGCTCCCGCGCTCGGGGCCAAAGTTCCTGAGCCGGGAGGCTGCGGAGCGGATTTCTTTTCCTCTTTATTTATATATTTATGCCCTCGCTCCGGCTCCCTCCCTCCCGCCTCCCGCGCCTTCCTCCACCCCCTGCGCTCGGCTCCCCGGGCCGACTGGAGGAGGGAGCTAGCGCCTCCTTGGGTCTCGGGAGTGAGGGGTTCGGGGAAGAGAAGAGGAAAAGCGAGGGGGCGCGAGCGATCAGCTGGGTAAGTTGTGCAAAAGTGCTCAACTGGAGGAGGAGGAGGAGGAGGAGGAGGAGGAGGAGGAGGAGGAGGAGGAGGAGGAGGAGGAGGAGGAGGAGGCCGACGAGATCTGATAGGTTCGGACTTTTCTTTTATTCATGAGGAGCGAAGGGGGCCAGGACGGAAGGCTGCGGAGGACCAATAACGAAAAGAAATGCCCAACGAATAATTTTTTCTCTTTTCTAATCCCCGGCTCGACCTCCTTTTTGGGGGGAGAATTTGAACTGCCCGTGAAGACAGGGGCAGCGGAGCCCCGGGAGCTGGGGGTGGAAGAAAAGGGGAGGGGGCAACTTTGTCCAAGTGTCTGTCTCCCTTTGATGAATGGGCCGGATCGGCCGGGTCCCCAGCCGCTGGTCGCCTGCCGCTGCTTGCTGTGGCCCTGGCTCTGTGGGAACACAGCCCCGGGTTGGGCGTTTCTCTGGATGGTCCCCTTCACCCCGGCCCCACTGGGTAGAGCCCCTGTGTCTCGCACCGTCGTCTTCCTCATCTTACACGCCCTGAAATTTCCTCGAGTTGGACTAGTGGAAAACAGCCCGGTGACATCAAGGGAGGATTACGACTGTGAAATAATGTCAGAGCCCTGGTGTCCGGTGGCTCTCCTCTGGCTTCCTGCAGCTCCAAGAAGCCCAGAGTGACTGTATCTGGTTTAATGCTTGGGAAACTGGGTCTGCCCAGAGTTAGGGACGCGTCTCTTCCTCTCCAACCCCGCCCTGGGCCGAGGGGCTGGGAGGACCCACCCTCCTCCTTAAACCCCCAGGCCACAACCCCAGGACCTCTTTACAGGGGGTGGTTGGGTGTCCCCAGGCTGTGCAGTGTGGCTGTGCTGAGGATCTGGGACTCCAAAGGCATGGGATATGGGGGGAGGGAGCGTTAGAACTTGGTACCAACTCTGAGCTCCTCTGCTGGGGGGCTGAGGGAGCCCCAGTTAGAAGGTCCAGAGTTAGGAGGGGTGGCCAGAGGTCCCACAGTTCTGCACTCTCTGAGGCCTGAGTGACCAATGGCCCCAGACTCAGGACACGGATCCCTGGGGGCGAAACGCCCTCCCAGCGGGGTAGGACGCCACAACGGCAGGCCTTTTGTCTCCCGGGGGAAAGAGCGTCTCTGGCGCTGGCTGGAGCCGAGGTACAATAAAGTAACCCAGCCCTGGAGCTCGCCCGCCTGCCCTCTCCCTGCAGTGGGGTCAGCTGCGTCTTGGCCTGGGGGGCTCTCTGCAGCTGGCTCCGGTGCCCTCCCTTCCCCTTCCCTCTCCTCACCTGTGACCTTTGCCCCTCTCAGCAAGTGACAGACTGCTTTTCCTAGCATTAGGGGGTTACCAGACTTTGGGGGAGCTTCCTGGGAATGGGGACCCTGCTCAAAAAAACTTGTTGAACTCAAGTTCTCAGAACTGAACAGGGGGAGGCCAAGTAGCTTTAATATTGGAAAAGGGGTCACCAGGGTGCTTTGCTTAGTGGGCTGCCTGAGTTATAGGGACCTCCCCCAGGAGAGACAGGGAGAGGGCTTGCAGCCCTTATGTGTATTGGAGAGGATGGGAGCTTCCTGGGGGGCCGTTGCGTGTCTTGCCTTTAAAGGTGGATACATGCGTTTACTTACGTAGAGCACATATGCACCTGCGTATGTACATACATGTGCATGTATATGAAATACCCGTCCAGAGCACATCCCATATTCACCCTTCCACCCACCCACACCCCGACTTTCCTGGAGGGAGGAGGGGGAAGGAGGAGGCACCTGCTCCTTGTGGAATGGACCTGCGTGCTTGTGGGCGGGCAGGGCTTCTGCAGGGGTGTGTCAGGGGCAGATGGGGTTACCCAGGTCTGTTTGGGGTCAGTCCCAGTCAGTGTGGGTTTCAAGGACAGAGTCTGTTTGTGTTTCTGTTCTGGGTCACACCCAGGTAGCCTCTGCCCGGGTCTCACAGCAGGGTGTGAGCGTGTGTTTTGACCAAATCATCTCCAGGAAGGGCCTCCAGCCCTCTGCGCTGAGCTGACTCTGCCACCGCGGGCCCCCTGTCTCTCCCAAGCCGAGAGGGGTGAGCACCCCTCAGGTCCCCTGGTGCAGGACCAACGCTGAGGACCCTGGGAACTCCTGTGCCAGGGGCCACCTTGCTCTTGGGGTGACCCCTCTTCTCCTGCAGAAGACACTCTGGCAGGCCCAGTGGCCACCCAGGTCAGGGGCCAGGCTCCCGGGACCCAGGGACCCAGCGCTGGCCGCTCAGCCCTGCGTTTGGCAGCCTGGGATTCCGCAGGGGGAGGAAGCGGGGTTGTCTGTTGGAATGAGCGTGGCGGTTCTCGCCTGTTGGAGACCAATTTCACAAATGATTTTTGCAACAATTAAGAAGTGTGGCGGGTGAAATGGCGATTTCACATCCCGCAGGGGAAAGGGGGGTTCACCTGGGGACTGGGGCCTGCAGCCGGGCTGGGGAGGCGCTGCCCCTCTCTCCATTGTCCCTTGCTAACCCTCTTGCCCCAATTCTCCCCCCCCCCAGCCATGAATCAGCTCCAGGGCCTCCCATTGCCCTGGGGGGCTCCGAGGGGCTTCTGCCTGGATTGTGGCTGGACTTGCCCTTGGAGGGCGACCCTTCAGCCCTTTAGGGCTCCTTCCTCCTCCCCTCCCCCTGTCTCTGTCCATCTGTGTCCCTCCCCACCTGCCCTGGCTTTCCCTCTCTGTCTGGGTCACACAAACACTTTTCCTTCTCTCTGTCTCTCTCTCTGTCTCTCTCTCTCTCCCCCCCCCCCCAAAGTCTGACTTATGGTCTCCTCCGACTTGGGGCTCCCTTTTCCTCTTTCCTCCGGGTTTTCCTGACTCCTCCCCAGCGACCATCCTCTGTCAGTCTTGGCTGCCGCCGGCCACCCCCATCTCCATGGTTTCCTGAGGCATTTCAGGCCGCCGCGGCTCTGTGGGCTGGACTCCCACCGAATCCCCAGGACGACCCTTTGGTTCAGCTGGGGTGGGGCAGAGACCCCAGGACAGGGTCCTCCTCTCCGCTCCTCCCTGGACTGCCCAGCCCCCAGCATCACCCCCCCCCAGTGCTGTCCGTTGACACTTCAGGTGTCCCCCCACCTTGGGGGACTGCTCTGGACTCTTTCCACACACACCCTTTTTTCTCTTTTTTAAAGAGACAGCACGAACAGAAAGTCTATCTTCCAAGTGTCCAAGTGGAGCCCTGCAACCCGAATAAACGGGAGAGAAGGAGCAGGCCCAGGGCTGGGGGGCAGGACCCAGGCTGAGTCCCACTTCTGCCGCCCCCTCCCAGACCGTGGAGTGGCTGGAGGCGCCAGCTTCCAGACCAAGCTGGGGCTCCCCCAAGTGGCCAGGGCCTCCACCTCTGCCCAAGGGAGAGGTTACTGCACCCAGACCCCGGTAGTGACCACTTTTTGAAAGCAGTTCCCCCCC